AAAGATATATTTTTGAATAGTTTACACAGAAAAAGTTGAAATAGTTGTGTTAAAAATTTTCTATTTCGTCAGTTTGGAGGCAAATGTTGTTGCATGGATGACTCCCGGGGGGGACTCCGCATATTAAAGGGGTGGGGATGCTCTTCGGAAATTTTGAATTAAACCCCTAAAGGAGACCCACCTGGGTGTGGCCCAAGCTTCTTTTAACCCCTAAAAGAGACCAAAAAATATACATATCAAATATGTCTTTTTATATTTTTTCGCGTGCAACCCTAAACGAGACCTTCACGGCTTAATATGATGGCGTTTTGCCCAGAACACCCTAAGTGAGACCAAAATCCGAAATTTACACCTATAAGCGAGACGACGAGCATCCCCACCCCTTTCATATGCCGAGTTCCCCCCCCCCCGGGGGGCTGACGGCCTTTGGTTTAAATTTTCCAACTATGGTGAGCGTCATAGAAGACAACCCTTATATAGGTTCCAAAAATCAAAAAAATCCTTTTCACCATCACCAATACATGTAGTTTAAATATAAAAATACTGACAGCTAATGATACCTTACGCAAGTTCTACCAAACCAAAAACGATTCTTCTGAATAGATGCCAGAAGCTCCCACTCACGAAATAGATGCTCTCGCACGTGCCCAGTTCAGTTAACCACACGTGCAGTTAAATACAACAGGCTTAAGAGTAAATTATTTTGAATAAAAAGATTATCTAGCTTCCCACCTCTTGCTTTTGTGCCGTGTGAAAAGAAAGACGAGTAGAAACGTGTCAGTTCCTAGATGGTTTTGTCAAAAGAGGATATGACGATTTGAATGACTAAATATGATCGTTATTTCCAGCTGTGTATACTTCGATTGGTCTCGATTCTTTCGTTATGTCGTTTAGACGATTGGACGAGAAGGGTGACTGCACAAATAAAAGCTTCTTACAGAGAGTCGATATCAGATCCCGTCAGAGCAAATTAGTCAAATTACAGCGTGGAAAGAGTTTGCTATCACGAACGGTAATCAGAACTACCATGAGAATTGAATGTATTCTTAGCAGGACTGACTGAGCTGTCGGCAGGTCTGTCGGAGTCATACTGCCTGTTAAAATCCTTCTAAGTTTGAAAACTGGTTTTTCTATGATATTAGCATCTACAACTGCTATTAAAGAAACAGCTTCTTTGGGCATTTCTCTAAGTCAAACTTGAAAGGTGTCTCCTTACGCCCGCACCCAGTCCCCCTCATGGCTCTCCCCAGGTCTTCTCTCCTCGTTATTAGAAATGTGTAGAAGGAAGTGAGGTCAAAATAAACTTCGTTATGTGGTAAAAGATGACATTGGAAAGTAACCTTAAACAAAAAGACTTGTTTTGGTATTGGATAGTATGCGTTCAACTGTGGCAGGTTTAATTCATTGCATTGCATCATGGCACATGTAACAATAGCCTCTCAACTCGCGGTTGAGAAGAAGCAAGCGAAGCCGGATTTCTTAGATTTGAGAGTAAAAGGCAAAGGACAGCAAACGTAGGATTTAGAAAAGATCTCATCATCCAAGAATATAACGAGCAAGACAAAAAAGCTTACATCCGTAATAAGACTGACTTTGTATAATAAATGTATATTTACGGCTTATTGTGAGATTTACTTGTTTTTGCTGGCTTTATTTTAACATTTGATACGCAATGCTAAAGAGTTCCAACAAGAATGAAGCAGCTGCCCCTTCAGGGACGGATAAAACCACATTTGTGTGGTTCAATCTGTCTCTTTCTTTTAGGGCCCATTTTAGCACAAAACACAGAATTGGATACAGCTTGTTTGAGACTAATTTATGTACTCCCCCTCGGCTCTTTTGGGAGTGAATGACCCTTACTCTAGTCGAATGACAATCAAGAGATTGTTCCGGCACAAAACGGAGAAACATTTTCTCGTCTACATTTTAACAGCTCTGATTTTCGCCCTGAACCACGAAGAGCCCTCCTCTCGAGACTTTATAAGTGATTTGTTGACTTGGCAGCCCACCTGAGAAATGAGAAATGCCCGGGGGCAAAAATAAACATTTATATGGAACTATAGAGACAAAGGTGACTTGCGTATCAATAACTACACTTGAAACCAGCCTTTAGGTCTCTACGAACAATTAGACGCAGATGAACAGAGTATGTTTTGCAACACAGGAAATATGAACAGTGTTGCTAAGCGACTGTTACATTACCTCTTGAAAGATCAATGGCCAGCTGAGGTCTATCGATTCAAAACTTCACATCTCCTGTAACCCATATCATTATATAGTATGGTCATACAAATAAAGCTCTCATAAATAAATTTTATACACAATTAAGGCTAACTGACACTTCATGTCAATACCTATTAACCCTTTAAGTCCCAATAGTGACCAACAGCAAATTTCTCCTAACGATATCCATACGTTATCATGAGATTAGGTTATGAGAATTAATAAAATGATCACCTAAGAGAATATACTTTGATCTTTTATCAAATTCTCTTGACTAATTCTTAAAGAAAATGTATAGAGATCAGTTTGGAGAATTTGTATGTGGATATTGGGGCTTAAAGGGTTAAAATAGGCAGCAAAATGCACAATATATCGGCTTCTGCATGCTATTCAGTTTGCAAATCTTTTCATATTCTTTGGTTTTGAAGCTTTTTGCCTGCGGTCTATTTTCAAGACAACATGAAATCAATCTTAGGAGATAACAACTGAAAACTGTATGCATAAACAGGTGAAAAACAAACTTTCTTTCTGTTTTGAGGCACAGGCTCAGCTACTTCCATCTCTGCCCTATTTGGCCCCATTTGCAGTAGGTCCGCATCAGTCTTTCTTTTTTTGAAAATTCTACATCAAGAACATCTTTTGTCGTGTGTTGTGAAGCTTGATTATCTCGTTCACAATTAAAGAAAAACGACTTTTACTTTGTAAAGGACTCAAAAAAATAAGACCATGTAAAAAAAAAACTACAGAAGAGGCTTCAAATCAATAGGTTTTTTTATCCAGTCAACCACATCACATCTCTTCGTAATTGACTCAGTGTGGGAATGAAAAGGTTAAAAATACTGAATAAAAATGCTAATTTTGTGGGCAAAGCAGAATTTGGTTTTGTCTCCCAAGTTTTAAAACATGCATGTAGATTGCTGATGGTGGACAGATACATTAATAAGTACTTGACAATGTTTCTGGAAACCATTTCTCCCAAGACGCATCAAGGCGGCTCGTGGAAGAAATTAAAAGACGAAACCATTTCCTTGATTAAAATGCCGCCAAAAAAGTGATATGAATCAAACAATATGATTCCTTTTTTTGGTTTAATTTCTTCCTAATGGCAGTACTCTAAAAACTAAACGCAATCAGTTTCTGGCCTGTTCGTTAAACGTTTAGCGACTCTGTGAATTTTAAAAAAATTCAACAATTTGGCCTTTATTATTAATTAGAGGTAATACAGTGTAGAGGCAAACACTTCGATTAACTCTTATTTAAGCAATAGCAAACAGTTCTTGAATTTGACTGCTGCTCTTTCACATATTTTATTTTATATGCTTCTTAGTTTTCATTTTCTGAATTTGTTGGAGGTTGTAATCATTGAGAGTTTTCCTGTCAAACTGAAAGGATTTTAGAAACCTCTATACAGGGAAGCGTTAAAAGATATATTGTGGGAAATATTTTGCCCTTAAGGCGTATTAAGCCGGCGCTTGAAAAGAAAAACAAAACAACTTTGCCGTGTAATTTGCATGTCGGAATAAAAGAAGAAATTCAAATCCATTATTTTGGGAAAGCGCTTTGCTTCAGTATACCTTACTGAAACTTTTTTCTGGTGATGCATGTTTTTGCTACCGGAGTTTTCAAACGGTAGATAATTTAAAAGCGGCAAAAATATTTTTAAACTTCTTATTCAATTCACAACAATTTTTGACCGACATAAGCACTTATAATGTTCTGCCGATATCAGAGCCAGTACTTACAGTATCCTCACAGAGGACATCCAGTGTAAAGTGACACGGGTTTCAGCGTTGAGATTTTCTCAATCTTGGACACTTTTTCGTAAACAAGACGAAACTGTTCACCCACGCTATAAGAGCACTTGCAGATGAACTTGATTGGTTAAGTCATACATGTCCGCGAGGATCTGGATCGGGTGGTCTACTATTAATCTGTGATTGTATACAGCTGTTGTATATCATAGGTCAGTAGAGTATTGTCCCTAATAGAAATTCACTCAAGGAATTTCACTGTTTTATCTCAGAGGCTGTTGAATATGTTAATAAAGGTTAAAAGGAGCAATCTCAATTAACCTGGGATTTCAATTTTACGAGGCAGGGATGCATTGATTTTACTGGCTTGCCATTTCCTTTCCATTCTCTGAGACTTTCTGAGTCTGACAGCTTATCATACCAGATTGATATGAACGTAGAATTGAGCCGTGATCCAAGTGTGATCTTATGTATGAATATCAGCCCTGTAAAATTCAACCGAGGTCGAGATATGAGCATGAGAACAACTCCAAGATACCAGAGACTTTCAAGGGGTGTTCAATCCACCCTAAGGACTATAAAGGTATAGCAGCATGCTGTGAGTCGAGGCCGACATAACTCAATGAAATTAAGCTGATACAAATAAAAATGAAAACGGAATTGATCAAAAGGTTTTCCGGCACTTTCAGCATTGCAGTTCACGATGAGACTAGAATGAACTAAGAGTACGGCAATATATTGCGGACTCCGACTGAAACCATTCAAAGAAGTAATTGCAGTCGTGCTATTCAATCACAGGCGACAATTTTTATGACAACGGTATCCAACTATTCCAGTATAGCTGAGCAAAAACCAGAAGAGTCGGCAGTAGGATATGTAAAGAAACTGGGTGTGTTTTAAACTCTATCCTTTGCGTTTGAGACATTCTCGAATACATGAGTTCTTAGACGTTGGCTTTATTAACAACCAAAGACAACTTATTTTGAACAAAGCAAACAGATCTGAGCCACCGCAGCTGGTCAGCAGCTACTCAGTGTCTTCTTCGTCATCTTCGCCCCATTCCTCCTCCTGTTGTCCTTGATCGTTTTGAGGCATCTCCAGGTAAGCAAAGTCCACAGGGGGAGGCATACCAACGACAGGAGCCACTACTACAGGGCTCTCCTCTGTCTTCTCTTCTTCTTCTTCTTCTTCTTCTGGCTCACTGTAACAGTCAAATTTTATTTGACGTTGTTAATAGAACTGTGGTGGTGGTGGTGGTGACAAAACAAAGGAATGTCAGTGGTTGTGAAACTAGAGAACTATTCACTTACCTGCTTCTTGTTTTTCTGTACACCAGTGCGACAATTATGATAAGAAAAAGAATCCCAAGAAATCCACCAATAATCATTGCCAAGATCTTTATTAGCTCTCCTGTGCTACCTATAATAATTTAAAAAATTCATCTACAACTCTTTCCTTAAACCTTTTTTTTCAAAGGCCTCTCATCTGTCTAAGTTTAGCCACGATTGAGAAACCAACAGTTTTTTTCTCTGTACTTTCCCTTGGATAGTTGCAAACATGTTCAAAAATTCTCTCCACTCCGTCTTCCAGCAGTACGTCTCTAATGTTAAATAGCCTGACGAGCTTAAAAATGAACCAACTCAAAACTGACTCAGTTAATATCTAGTTGAAAGATTATCCGCTGACCTTCATGAATGCAGCTTTTTCCGACTTTCCTGAATCCTGATTGGCACTCGCAGGTGTAGCCGGTGTCGGAAGGTAAAATAGTCTTAACGTTGACGCAATAACTGTTTGCAATAGCGTCACATGTGTGAGTCTTCATCTCGCATTCATCGATGTCTAATAAGAAAAGAAGAAGGCTATCAAATTTGTTTCTAAGTTTTTATCAGAACTAAATTCTTTCAAATTCTAAGTATCTATGCATTTTTAAACAATTTCTAGCCTGATGAATTTCTTTAAGAGGTGCTCCTTGAACTTAACAGCATTACGTTCTCACTGTATTTCTCTACTTTGAAACTAAACATCTTCCAGATTTTGACAATAGTTTGCTTTAGCAACAGAACGGGAACGTCATTTGACGACGGGAAAGCGCGCGGAAAGGACTAAACTCGACTTCCGGTACCCAATTTGCCGCTCTGCCATTGGTCAAGCCCGTTGTTTGATTTGCGCGCGCCGTCGTCAACTGACGTTTCCGTTCTATTGCTAAATCAGCCTAATAATACTTTTAAACGTGTCCCGTTAAACGGAAAGCTAAGAAACGGCCATTGACATTTGCGGAAGGGGCCTATAATGATAAACCAATCAATACTCGCTCCAGTCAAAGGTGCGTGACCCCCTGGGCTTAACGCAGAATGTCTGTTGAGCAATTTACATAGAGTAACGAAGGACATTGGACGTTGCATGATTATTTTTGTCCGGAAAACAGAGAAAGAATTGCCTTGCCAAGCAACACCATTAAAGATTTCACTGTTACACCTACCAACACAAATGTTGCTTTTATTGGCCACGTATCCCGGATCACAGTCACATGTGAAACTTCCCAAGGTGTTGGTACATTCACCATCCATTCCACAATCGATAGACATGCACTCATCAACGTCTATCATCAAGAAGAGAAAAAAACTCAAGTATTAATAGAAATTTTATAAACGCCACACAAAAGGTGATATTGTTTTGCGGCAATACGTTAACGACGTGAGATAGGTGCGACGTAACTTCGTTCCCTGGTTACATTCAAGTCGACCACACGAAAGAGGATGGAAACCGTCTAGAACACATCACGTGACTGCAAGAAGGGTGAGACCTTCAGTAACGACATGGAAACTGGGTCGAGTCAACTTTTGCAAAGACTTCTGGGATTTGTTACTGGAGACAGGCCCTAGCTGACAGGCGCGTCCCCAGTAGCGATCCCAGAAAACATTGCGGAACAAATTTCTTTCGACTCCAGTTCCCGTCTGTGGTGAATTGAAACTCCGCCTTTGGCGAGAGTGATAATTTTTCGGTAAGTCACAAAGTTGACTCGGGTAAAATAAGTGTTCAGACCTTTTTGTTCAGACTGTAAAAGCAGCCAACCTCTTCCCAACTTTGCGTCAATGGTACTTGGACGATAGCTGCTATCAATATTCATTTAGTCATTTGATTAGAAGTGAAGACGAGAATACAAATAAATTTCCTCTCTTTTTCTGTTGCGCGTGTTTACCTTTGCATAGTTTACCATCCCCAGTATATCCAGTTTTGCATTCACATTTGTAACTGCCCAGTGTGTTGATACATTTTCCTCCAATCTTCGAACACTGTGACGTGCTCTTATCAGCACATTCGTCGATATCTGTTTAAAGACGTTAAAAGCCGATAAAACTCTGATCTTAAAGAAAAATTGAAAACTTATTTACGAAAACTTGCAATGTTTCATGAACAGAGAGNGGATTTGTTACTGGAGACAGGCCCTAGCTGACAGGCGCGTCCCCAGTAGCGATCCCAGAAAACATTGCGGAACAAATTTCTTTCGACTCCAGTTCCCGTCTGTGGTGAATTGAAACTCCGCCTTTGGCGAGAGTGATAATTTTTCGGTAAGTCACAAAGTTGACTCGGGTAAAATAAGTGTTCAGACCTTTTTGTTCAGACTGCAAAAGCAGCCAACCTCTTCCCAACTTTGCGTCAATGGTACTTGGACGATAGCTGCTATCAATATTCATTTAGTCATTTGATTAGAAGTGAAGACGAGAATACAAATAAATTTCCTCTCTTTTTCTGTTGCGCGTGTTTACCTTTGCATAGTTTACCATCCCCAGTATATCCAGTTTTGCATTCACATTTGTAACTGCCCAGTGTGTTGATACATTTTCCTCCAATCTTCGAACACTGTGACGTGCTCTTATCAGCACATTCGTCGATATCTGTTTAAAGACGTTAAAAGCCGATAAAACTCTGATCTTAAAGAAAAATTGAAAACTTATTTACGAAAACTTGCAATGTTTCATGAACAGAGAGAAAAATATATTTCTATCTAAACAGTCTGAGTGACAGTTCATATGAAAGCTGTTGTATAGAGTTCTTTCTCACGTCACAGTAAGTTAAAGGGTGAAAGTTGCCAGTCATTACGCGTGTGAGCGTCGTCCTCGCATTCTTAGTAAATTAGTAGTGGAAATAGTAGTTGGTAGTTAGTCATCATACCAGTACATTCTGTCCCTGTTCCTTTAAAACCTCTGGCCGCACAAGAACACTTGTAGCCTTCATAGGTGTTTTCACACCTTGCCATATCATCACAATCGTTTTCTTCCATGCACTCGTCTCGGTCTATAAAAAGAAAGTATATGACTTTCTTTGCTTCTCTTGTTGTTTTTTCTTTTAATCATCGCCAAGGTGGCACGTGATTGTCAATGTGTTTGTGCAGACATCTGCAAGCACTCCCCTAACACGCTGTCAGGAGGGAACGGCTGTTTATTCGTAGGCCAGCAACGAAACGGAGAAATAGATGTATTTTAGATACTCGGTAACTGTCTGAAAAAATTCACTTAGTTTCATTTTCTCATGTAAGAAAGAAATATATTATGCACAAACGTAAGGATCCCTGTTCCTGCTGTTTCAATTGTTTACTTTTTGCAAACCAAACCTTAACAGTCAAGAAATCTACTAAGAGCTATATTCACTCGGTAAGGCAACTAAACTAAAAGTTCACACTAGGTATGATTTGAAGCTTACCACATTCCTGATCAATTCTTTTGCCTTTGAGTGGATATGGTGTATGGCATATGGCTGGTGCAGATCCCAATTTAATGTTCTTATGTTTCTTCAGCAGCGTCAAAAGACCGCGGTTACTGCATTTGCAGTCCCACCTATTGTTGTGTAAGTAACTACGGAAATAACAAAGGAATATTGATACTAGTTTAAGAAATACGAGGGAGACTGGGATGATTTTGTGTTGAATTGCACTATGGGATTGCTTTCGCTTCTTTTATGGGCTGTTGCGAGGATGCGCAGGAAACTGGGTTAAAATTCGTCCAAAAATAACCCATAATGCAATGGACCCAACACCGACCCAGTGTCAATCGCAATCGTTTCATATTAGCCAAAGTACCTTGTAGAAAATCACTTTTACACTTGTGAGTTGATTTGCTTTAATTTGATGGAGTGTTTGCAGACAAGTTAACCTCATCTCTCATGGGTGGTGTGGGTATTGGGACTGATAGGGGTCTATACGTGTTACGTTGTCGCAACCGGTATTGGCTAAGCTAATAAATAAGTTAAGTTAAATCAGATTTAACGCAGACTACAACGAGTGTTCTTTACTTTTCATATACTTTATATTCACCTGAGTATGAACTTTGAGGATGTGTATCAACTCCTAATCTATTGCACTGATACTGAAGGAAAATGACTTCATACTTACAGGGTTATGTTATTAAATTTCAGGTCATCAAAGAAAGACGGTGACAGCATCACAAGTTGATTATTAGACAAATCCCTGTCAGTGATAACGAGAGAATAGATACTTGTCAAATCAAAGGTTCCTTGTAACATCGTTTAGAACAGTTCTTATGACCTTTTACAAATCCATTTACTTATTTGTCAGTAGTTCTCAGACCATAATTCAAACTCTGGAGCGCAGACCTCGGGCTGATTTTGAAAGTCCAAGTTTAATAACAGTGCCGCCCAAGAAAAGTTTTAATGAGATGATCAATAATCATAGTTAACTGAGAGATTTTCTGTTGCTCAGCGGAAGATCGCCTTGCGGATGCGCATTTGTCTCATTGCCACAGAGGTTTACCCTCGTGGTCTGCTTTGCCGCTCTTTGCCATTGTTTATCCCCCATTTGAATATTGCTCATCGATTTAATTCATGTGGAGAGCTCATTTGGGGCTGGCCTACTAAGTTTCAGTAAAGAAAAAGTGGAAAAAAAAATTCTAGCTCTGCTTCATAAGCTAAATACTTACAGAGTTTTTAGAGATGTGAGACCTTTGAAGGTGTTCGCTGGTATCTCAGATATATGTGCAACTGAGAGGTTCCTAAAAGAAAAGTAGAACAGGTAGGATTAAGGTAAACTGAAATTTTCAAGTAGAGGTCACGAAGAAATAAATACACATGATGGAGAGAGGTTATAACCCTTTTACTAAAATCGGTCTTAAAATCACATTCGACCTTAGCAAGGGTCCCTCCATATAAGCTTAATGATTTATTTTATATTATATTTTACCAAGTTTGTCCTTCCATTGCTTGTTTATCGCTATAAATATCTGAAACAAGCTTTTTGAAATGGATTAACAGAAGTTCTGTGGAGTTCAGTTCGGTTGAGTATCGGAATCTTCGCAAGTGTTCCTCCATTCTTCAATTTTCAAAGCAAGGACTAGCCCGCGAACAGCAGACGCATTTCCGGTCGTCGCTTCTCTCCCTCCGGAGGGAGAGAAGCGACGACCGGAAATGTCTGCTGTTCGTAGGCTAAGCAAGGACCAGCTTATAAAAAAGAAGTACCGAATCCTAATGAAGAATCTAATCAGCAATAAGTGAAAATATAAATCAAAAGAAGCAAGGCTGATTTTACAGTTTGGAATATATATCTATTTTTATCAATATTTTGGAAGGCACAGCCTTCCTTCCCGCTCTGACTTTTGGTAAGCGCGCAAGACAACCGAGCGATATATGATACAGCTGTGTGCATGCGTGAGTTACTGGCGCGGCCGGGCCGTGGGTTGGTGTATGCATGCCCCTTGATTTAAGTATCTCGCAACGATTTATCTTGCCCTAGTTTTTTCTGCCTAGGGCGTGATAAGGTAAAGTGTGACAACAGTAACATATAAAGGCGATACTCACAGCAGTTCTAAATGTGTCAAATTACTGAAGGTCCCCCTTGTAAGATTTAGTTTGAGTTTGCTGAGGTCCCTTGAAATGAAGAGACAAAACAATACTTAAGATATTCTTTTTAAAGCACAGCAAGAAATTCAGATACTTTATTAAATAAGTTGCCTTGTTTAAAGATTAAGCGAATCCAACTGTTTCGAAGTATTTTGGGCACAAGGTAAGGAGCTTATAAATCAGTACACCTTTAAGGCCCTAAAATATACGAAATAATTTAATTTTCATTTACCACAGTATTGAAGCTATGGATATTAACTCCGCTTGTAAAATATCAAGTTATCAACATCAATTTTCATTTATATCGTTGATTTTTGTTTCAAAATAATTATCCTTGTCCTGAGAAACAACATGAAATGAAGGTGTACACTAAATTATCACCACTGACATCAGTACAAGGTAACATTAAGGCCATTTACACGACGAACACCCTTCACACCTGTTCTTAGGGAAGATGCGTCTCTGCTAGGTTGCGTTTTACTTTAGACGAAATGTGTCGTTTATACGGGACGGTTTGCTTCATATTGAGTACGCATCATATTTTTCCTCTTTTAAATGGCCCTATTAAGAACGGTAAGAATACTTCATGCTAGCCGTGGTAACATGCTCTTCAGGTTCGTGTTACAATGATTCACTATCACTGTAGACAGTCGACGTAGCTATATGTTATCGACGTGCTGCCATATTTCCCCAACAATTTTTTTAGCGGTTTTGCTTCACAAGATACTTACAGTTTTGTAGCTTTCGTTGAGACTAAACCGACGATTTTCTTAATAGAATAGCGTCTGTCGAGGTATTTAGTTGAAGTGCATTTAAAATTTTGCCTGGAATTCTGTTTTTCAAAACAGCTCAATTTCCTCCCTGGCTTTGAAAAGCAAACCGAACAAAACAGAGGCAAAAAGTACAGTAGGAAAAGGAATTTCTTCATCGTTCTAACTTTGAGTCTATCATGGTAGATGACGCGGTGAGTGCTACTTTGGCTTGTGACGTAATGAATGGAAGTGAATTAGATAAATGAATAGTCATGTGACGAACTCGTGAGGACTCGCGCGCAATGGAAAATTTGGAAGCCAATGGCGGATTCAGTTCTGTGGAGGACCCCATATCCAGATCCAAAGCCCTAAGAGGGATGCCCAGAATCGGACATAACTTTCTTAGTTCTGTGGGTCCCCGTTTGGCCTAACAATAAGGTGTGGGCCTGAGCTCCCCGGACGGCCGGACCCCTCCCATAGATCCGCTACTGCAAGCAGCGTCTCTCTTTAATTCACGGCTCACCGCGCGCTTTGTATTCTGTTACGGCTAGTATTTTCGCGCTTCTCGCTCAGCTTGTGTGCAAGTGTTTATTTTTGTAAGGTCTTTTGCAAGGCCTTTGTTTGGACAAATAACATCAAATCAGACTCAAAGATGCTAAAGTACTGACAACAGATAATCACAAGGACAAACACCAGCTTGACCGTGGACTGTGAGCAGTCTAGCTTGATCGAAGAGGTACTGTTCGTCAAGAAACTAGATCTGCCATTTGTACACGGCGCATGAGAGAAGATCACATAATATACGATAATGTAATGTAACTGATAAGCTACAGTAGATCACACGACAGTAATGCCGGTATTCATCAGCAGCTCAAGGTAGCAACAAGATGTAATACCATTGCACTAAAAATACTGCACAAGCTAGCTGCAGTGAGAAGGCCTAACAAACGCCAAATCATTTGTCTGGAAATGGGTAGACTGCAAAACAGTCGGTTTTTTTCTCAAAATCAGTAAAGAAATCGATAAAGCGTGGCGTAAGAGTCTTACGCGCGCGAAGTGCGCGAGCCTCACACGCCCGTAGGGCGTGTGAGGCGAGAGAAAAAAAACCGTCTCTCTCCAGTCTCGCTCCCTGTTTTCAGCCTCGTTTGACTGCTCGCGCGTACTTGAATGCGCAAAAATATGGACTGTTTTGCAGGCTAGGAAATGGGCAGAGGACAACGGTGGAGCTAAAAAAAAAACATCCGAGAAACAGGACTTTCTTAACTCTTATTTGCTTGATTAAGGACATGATTTTTTGAATTGTATTTTGAGGTACAGGTGAATACTCACGAGGAGTTACACGAGGAGTGGGTGGGGTCCTAGTGTATGAAATAGAGAGAGCCTAGGTACGAACCGACCCAGTCCTATTTGCAAAACGTCTTGACCCAGCCTGACCGGCGCTTCGTTGTAGACAAGCCAAGTCTTGCGAGACTTTCGACAACGTTATTCACCAATAATGGCGCTTCTTTATCGCGGAGAATCACGGAAAAAGATTTTGAGGCACCCCATTTTCTGGATGAAGATCGCCGAGATTGTAAGTGAGGGGTTTTCTCTCTCCCGCGTTCACAGAACGGAAGTCTCTGTTTGTAGCCATTTAAGCTTACAAGTGTTACAGAAGTGTAGTTTATTAGGAAAATTTTGCACTGATACTGAAGGAAAATGACTTCATACTTACAGGGTTATGTTATTAAATTTCAGGTCATCAAAGAAAGACGGTGACAGCATCACAAGTTGATTATTAGACAAATCCCTGTCAGTGATAACGAGAGAATAGATACTTGTCAAATCAAAGGTTCCTTGTAACATCGTTTAGAACAGTTCTTATGACCTTTTACAAATCCATTTACTTATTTGTCAGTAGTTCTCAGACCATAATTCAAACTCTGGAGCGCAGACCTCGGGCTGATTTTGAAAGTCCAAGTTTAATAACAGTGCCGCCCAAGAAAAGTTTTAATGAGATGATCAATAATCATAGTTAACTGAGAGATTTTCTGTTGCTCAGCGGAAGATCGCCTTGCGGATGCGCATTTGTCTCATTGCCACAGAGGTTTACCCTCGTGGTCTGCTTTGCCGCTCTTTGCCATTGTTTATCCCCCATTTGAATATTGCTCATCGATTTAATTCATGTGGAGAGCTCATTTGGGGCTGGCCTACTAAGTTTCAGTAAAGAAAAAGTGGAAAAAAAAATTCTAGCTCTGCTTCATAAGCTAAATACTTACAGAGTTTTTAGAGATGTGAGACCTTTGAAGGTGTTCGCTGGTATCTCAGATATATGTGCAACTGAGAGGTTCCTAAAAGAAAAGTAGAACAGGTAGGATTAAGGTAAACTGAAATTTTCAAGTAGAGGTCACGAAGAAATAAATACACATGATGGAGAGAGGTTATAACCCTTTTACTAAAATCGGTCTTAAAATCACATTCGACCTTAGCAAGGGTCCCTCCATATAAGCTTAATGATTTATTTTATATTATATTTTACCAAGTTTGTCCTTCCATTGCTTGTTTATCGCTATAAATATCTGAAACAAGCTTTTTGAAATGGATTAACAGAAGTTCTGTGGAGTTCAGTTCGGTTGAGTATCGGAATCTTCGCAAGTGTTCCTCCATTCTTCAATTTTCAAAGCAAGGACTAGCCCGCGAACAGCAGACGCATTTCCGGTCGTCGCTTCTCTCCCTCCGGAGGGAGAGAAGCGACGACCGGAAATGTCTGCTGTTCGTAGGCTAAGCAAGGACCAGCTTATAAAAAAGAAGTACCGAATCCTAATGAAGAATCTAATCAGCAATAAGTGAAAATATAAATCAAAAGAAGCAAGGCTGATTTTACAGTTTGGAATATATATCTATTTTTATCAATATTTTGGAAGGCACAGCCTTCCTTCCCACTCTGACTTTTGGTAAGCGCGCAAGACAACCGAGCGATATATGATACAGCTGTGTGCATGCGTGAGTTACTGGCGCGGCCGGGCCGTGGGTTGGTGTATGCATGCCCCTTGATTTAAGTATCTCGCAACGATTTATCTTGCCCTAGTTTTTTCTGCCTAGGGCGTGATAAGGTAAAGTGTGACAACAGTAACATATAAAGGCGATACTCACAGCAGTTCTAAATGTGTCAAATTACTGAAGGTCCCCCTTGTAAGATTTAGTTTGAGTTTGCTGAGGTCCCTTGAAATGAAGAGACAAAACAATACTTAAGATATTCTTTTTAAAGCACAGCAAGAAATTCAGATACTTTATTAAATAAGTTGCCTTGTTTAAAGATTAAGCGAATCCAACTGTTTCGAAGTATTTTGGGCACAAGGTAAGGAGCTTATAAATCAGTACACCTTTAAGGCCCTAAAATATACGAAATAATTTAATTTTCATTTACCACAGTATTGAAGCTATGGATATTAACTCCGCTTGTAAAATATCAAGTTATCAACATCAATTTTCATTTATATCGTTGATTTTTGTTTCAAAATAATTATCCTTGTCCTGAGAAACAACATGAAATGAAGGTGTACACTAAATTATCACCACTGACATCAGTACAAGGTAACATTAAGGCCATTTACACGACGAACACCCTTCACACCTGTTCTTAGGGAAGATGCGTCTCTGCTAGGTTGCGTTTTACTTTAGACGAAATGTGTCGTTTATACGGGACGGTTTGCTTCATATTGAGTACGCATCATATTTTTCCTCTTTTAAATGGCCCTATTAAGAACGGTAAGAATACTTCATGCTAGCCGTGGTAACATGCTCTTCAGGTTCGTGTTACAATGATTCACTATCACTGTAGACAGTCGACGTAGCTATATGTTATCGACGTGCTGCCATATTTCCCCAACAATTTTTTTAGCGGTTTTGCTTCACAAGATACTTACAGTTTTGTAGCTTTCGTTGAGACTAAACCGACGATTTTCTTAATAGAATAGCGTCTGTCGAGGTATTTAGTTGAAGTGCATTTAAAATTTTGCCTGGAATTCTGTTTTTCAAAACAGCTCAATTTCCTCCCTGGCTTTGAAAAGCAAACCGAACAAAACAGAGGCAAAAAGTACAGTAGGAAAAGGAATTTCTTCATCGTTCTAACTTTGAGTCTATCATGGTAGATGACGCGGTGAGTGCTACTTTGGCTTGTGACGTAATGAATGGAAGTGAATTAGATAAATGAATAGTCATGTGACGAACTCGTGAGGACTCGCGCGCAATGGAAAATTTGGAAGCCAATGGCGGATTCAGTTCTGTGGAGGACCCCATATCCAGATCCAAAGCCCTAAGAGGGATGCCCAGAATCGGACATAACTTTCTTAGTTCTGTGGGTCCCCGTTTGGCCTAACAATAAGGTGTGGGCCTGAGCTCCCCGGACGGCCGGACCCCTCCCATAGATCCGCTACTGCAAGCAGCGTCTCTCTTTAATTCACGGCTCACCGCGCGCTTTGTATTCTGTTACGGCTAGTATTTTCGCGCTTCTCGCTCAGCTTGTGTGCAAGTGTTTATTTTTGTAAGGTCTTTTGCAAGGCCTTTGTTTGGACAAATAACATCAAATCAGACTCAAAGATGCTAAAGTACTGACAACAGATAATCACAAGGACAAACACCAGCTTGACCGTGGACTGTGAGCAGTCTAGCTTGATCGAAGAGGTACTGTTCGTCAAGAAACTAGATCTGCCATTTGTACACGGCGCATGAGAGAAGATCACATAATATACGATAATGTAATGTAACTGATAAGCTACAGTAGATCACACGACAGTAATGCCGGTATTCATCAGCAGCTCAAGGTAGCAACAAGATGTAATACCATTGCACTAAAAATACTGCACAAGCTAGCTGCAGTGAGAAGGCCTAACAAACGCCAAATCATTTGTCTGGAAATGGGTAGACTGCAAAACAGTCGGTTTTTTTCTCAAAATCAGTAAAGAAATCGATAAAGCGTGGCGTAAGAGTCTTACGCGCGCGAAGTGCGCGAGCCTCACACGCCCGTAGGGCGTGTGAGGCGAGAGAAAAAAAACCGTCTCTCTCCAGTCTCGCTCCCTGTTTTCAGCCTCGTTTGACTGCTCGCGCGTACTTGAATGCGCAAAAATATGGACTGTTTTGCAGGCTAGGAAATGGGCAGAGGACAACGGTGGAGCTAAAAAAAAAACATCCGAGAAACAGGACTTTCTTAACTCTTATTTGCTTGATTAAGGACATGATTTTTTGAATTGTATTTTGAGGTACAGGTGAATACTCACGAGGAGTTACACGAGGAGTGGGTGGGGTCCTAGTGTATGAAATAGAGAGAGCCTAGGTACGAACCGACCCAGTCCTATTTGCAAAACGTCTTGACCCAGCCTGACCGGCGCTTCGTTGTAGACAAGCCAAGTCTTGCGAGACTTTCGACAACGTTATTCACCAATAATGGCGCTTCTTTATCGCGGAGAATCACGGAAAAAGATTTTGAGGCACCCCATTTTCTGGATGAAGATCGCCGAGATTGTAAGTGAGGGGTTTTCTCTCTCCCGCGTTCACAGAACGGAAGTCTCTGTTTGTAGCCATTTAAGCTTACAAGTGTTACAGAAGTGTAGTTTATTAGGAAAATTGACATCCTCTTGCAATATAAATTATCTTTCAAATATAAACTTATTTGTCGGGAATTTACTAGTGCCTGCTTTTTGTAACACTTGTTACATATTAAGATTGTGTAATTTCTTAAATAGACAACGTGCAGGTATTCGCGCACGTAAAAGTTGTGATAGTAGAGCGGGTTTCCTGTAAGGATGTAACTTTACTCTCCGTTGTATACCAAAATGCCCAAGCTGTCAGTTCGATTTTGTTCATTTCTCCAACTGTGTCGAAATTCAAATTGCCTTGCTCATGTTTCCTGCTTTTTAACCTGATCCGATGTCAAAATATTACTTCACAACAGAGTATCAAATGTAGCAGCCTCATGTACATCCATGCATTGCCGAAAGTTAAAAACTACACGACAAATGTTTTATTGTGATTTGTGCCATAATTATTTTCTTAAATGCCTAACCGTTATAGCTGACACGTTGATCTTTTTTCTTGCATACTGCGATTTTATCATCCACTTTGTTATTGTTAAGAGTGTTTATTTTAAGAAAGCATGTCCTGACGGGTCAATGTCACCGGTCGATTCTAATTTTATTAATTAAAGTCACGACTTCCCCAACATCACGCTTTCGTTCGATCAAGTGCTCAAGAAATCAGGAATTTTTCAGATGACACTTTATTAGTATGGTGTAAATTTTGAATTGGAGCTGCTGTTTCACAAAAACGTAAATCCATTCCCAAGGTTTGACTGATCAAAAACTCATGATTTCCTTTTTTTCTCAACAGGTCCTTAGTTTGATTATATTTCCATTATGCATCACGTACAATGAAAAGGGTGGAATCTATGTGACAAACACTACAAGGAGTCTTAACTTTACGGTTAAATACCCTTTTCAATATAACAACGAGACTATAGTCTTCACTGGTGAAGACAACCCTGTCGGCAACTTCAACTTTGACCCTGCCATTGAAGCTTGTGTGAAAATCTTTGTTGGTGTGTCTGTTGTAACCTGCTTTGCTGCAGTAACAACTTTGATAGTAGGCTGTGTAGTACATAGAAATGAGGATAAGGCCAATAAAGTTTTAACTGCTGTAAGTACTCTATTTTTCTTTGATTCTAAGTTTGGTAATCAAATCAGATATGAAGTGACTATACACTAACAACTTGTACATTTTTTTTCCTGCATTGGTTTGAAATTATTTTAATTGTTTGAAACATATCAAGTGTATCCTTACGGTTCCTTATTTACTTTGTTTGTTATTTAGGAGATATTTGTAGCTCTCTTAATGGCATTTCTCCTTGTCATAACCACAAGCCTCTGGCTTTACAACCTTCTTGAGTTGAGGAAAGAAGTTGAAGATGAAATAGTCAGTATAATCACATCTTTAGGGCGTGATCAGTGCAAGAACTGTGTGGAATTCTTGCCAAGTTATTCAGCATTGTTTGCTTCAGTGGTGAGATATGTTTCTTTTATAAAATAATATATTTGAAAAACTTCATAAATTATTTTCAGGGTTTGTACACTTCTTCAGAAATTCAAAGACTTTACAAGGACTGTCAAGAACCACATTTTAAATTTCAAGGACCAAATAAATTAACTTTTATCACAGGTTCTAAGAAACTATGAAAATATTTTATCATTCACAAAGTCAGTGTCATCTAAAATTTGCGTGAATAAAAATTGGTCTAGTGACACGGTAACCATTTTAGACCTCAGCCTTTTGCATCACAGGCTGTCCATACTTGACTTTAATTTCATCCTGAATGCGGATTTTATTCTGTTTGCTTCATACTGGTATTTGCCAAAGTTTTTTGCATGTTTGGAAATGTCCCTCAATTAAAATTCAAGGACTTATAAGGACCAAAATAAATCAAAGATAATTTCAAGGACTTTCAAGGCCTTGAAAAAGTAGTAACGCTAAAATTCGAGGGTTTTCAAGGATTTTCAAGATGCATACGAACCCTGTATTTTACAGTTTTCTTCAGGAAAGTCATTGATATTAATATTGCAATATTTTGACCACTCCTAGTCTTCATCAGATGATGGTGTTGATTAGCACATGTTGGGAAGTGTTAGTTGCACCTTGTCTTTTAGTTATTGGTGCATATAATTTTTTTATCATCACCTATAGGGACAGTGGCAGATCTTGATCTATTATCTATATGTTATCGACGTGCTGCCATATTTCCCCAACAATTTTTTTAGCGGTTTTGCTTCACAAGATACTTACAGTTTTGTAGCTTTCGTTGAGACTAAACCGACGATTTTCTTAATAGAATAGCGTCTGTCAAGGTATTTAGTTGAAGTGCATTTAAAATTTTGCCTGAAATTCTGTTTTTCAAAACAGCTCAATTTCCTCCCTGGCTTTGAAAAGCAAACCGAACAGAACAGAGGCAAAAAGTACAGTAGGAAAAGGAATTTCTTCATCGTTCTAACTTTGAGTCTATCATGGTAGATGACGCGGTGAGTGCTACTTTGGCTTGTGACGTAATGAATGAAGTGAATTAGATAAATAAATAGTCGTGACGAACTCACGCGCAATGGAACATTACGAAACCAATGGCGGACTGTGATGCAGTTCTGTGGGGGACCCTATATCCAGATCCAAAGCCATAAGAGCAATGCCTAAAATCGGACATAACTTTTTTAGCTCTGTGGGCCCCCGTTTGGCCTAACAATAAGGTGTGGGCCTGAGCTCCCCGGACGGCCGGACCCCTCCCATAGATCCGCTACTACAAGCAGCGTCTCTCTTTAATTCACGGCTCACCGCGCGCTTTGTATTCTGTTACGGTTAGTATTTTCGTGCTTCTCGCTCAGCTTGTGTGCAAGTGTTTATTTTTGTAAGGTCTGTTGCAAGGCCTTTGTTTGGACTAATAGCATCAAATCAAACTCAAAGATGCTAAAGTACTGACAACAGATAATCACAAGGACAAACACCAGCTTGATCGTAGACTGTGAGCAGTCTAGCTTGATCGCAGAGGTACTGTTCGTCAAGAAACTAGACCTGCCATTTGTACACGGCGCATTAGAGAAGATCACACAATATACGATAATGTAATGTAACTGATAAGCTACAGTAGATCACACGACAGTAATGCCGGTATTCATCAGCAGCTCAAGGTAGCAACAAGATGTAATACTATTGCCCTAAAAATACTGCACAAGCTAGCTGCAGTGAGAAGGCCTAACAAACGGCATATCATTTGTCAGGAAATGGGCAAAGGACAACGGTGGAGCTCAAAAAAAATCCTAGAAACAGGATTTTCTTAACTCTTATTTGCTTGATTAAGGACATGATTTTTTGAATTGTTTTTTGAGATATGCACAGGTGAATACTCACGAGGAGTGGGTGGGGTCCTCGTGTGTGAAATAGAGAGAGCCTAGGTACGAACCGTCCCAGTCCTATTTGCAAAACGCCTTGACCCAAAGCCTGGTCTTGACCCGCGCTTCGTTGGAACATCTCGCAAGACTTGGCTTGTCTACACAACGTTATTCACCAATAATGGCGCTTCTTTATCGCGGAGAATCACGGAAAAAGATTTTGAGGCACCCTATTTTCTGGATGAAGATCGCCGAGATTGTAAGTGAGGGGTTTTCTCTCTCCCGCGTTCACAGAACGGAAGTCTCTGTTTGTAGCCATTTAAGCTTACAAGTGTTACAGAAGTGTAGTTTATTAGGAAAATT